GAAAATTTAGGTTAGGTATAAGATGAGCTGATAGGACAGGGAGGAACGGGTACCAATGGAAAGAGGGGAAATTTAGGTTAGGTATAAAATATCCATATAAATAATATTGATATAAAGAAGTTCTTTACCACGAGGGTGGTGAGGCACTGCAATGGGTCGCCCAGGGAGGCTGTGGCTGCCCCATCCCTGGAAGCCTTCAAGGCCAGGTTGGACCAACCTGGAGCGGTGGGAGGTGTCCCTGCCCACGGCAGGGGGGTGGAACGAGATGCTCTCCGCGGTCCATCCCAACCCCCTGAACACCTCCTCGATTGATATAAACTTGATTCTGCGATAGTGCACCCAGGAGGGAGAGATCGGGGGTGGGGTAGGGGGGGGATGTGTGTGTGTAGCGGTGAAGCCCGGCGCATCCCCCCCTTCTCCCGGCGCTTGTCGCGACGTGTCGCGGCGGGCAGCGCGGATGCCATGGGATGCTGCGGTCCCGCGGCTGCTGCACATGCTCAGCAGAGAGCGGGGCGGCTCAGCCGCTGGCGCTGCTGCTGCGGGGAGCCCTGAGCCTGTCTGCGGGGGGCTGGGGGTGCCCCGGGCCAGGGGGGCGGCCGTGCCCCGGCGCGGGGGGCTCGGCGCATGGGGCTCGGCGCTCCCCGCGGGACGCTCGGCGGCCGCGGCTGCTCCAGTATGTCCTGGGACCCCTGGAGCTGTCAGTGGGCAGACAAGGACACGGGCAGCGGATTGTCGTGGCTGTACTAATGAAAGGGTTCAAGCTCGCCTGGTAAGCGCTGTTGGGGGCCCGACTCCCCGACGGAGCCCCTCTCCCCGAAATCGCGCTCCTTTCGCGGCCGCGCTGCGGGGGGGGAAAAATAATAAAATAAAAAAAGGGATGCGCGGCTCCGCCAAGTTCCGCCGCAGCATCACCCCGGGGGGATCATCGCGGGATGCGGCTGGGAAAGGCTCCGGGAATAGCGATGGGCCGCTGCTGTCCGGGCATCGCTGCGCCAGCACCGTGATGCCCTGAGCCTCCCTCCGCGCTGGCTGCATCTTCCTCCCCGCTGCCGCCACCCCTTCCCCTCCTCTGCTGTCGCCCAAAATCAGTTCAAGGCATCGCTTGCAGCCCGCGTTGTGCATGAATCGGCATCTGCGGGTGCTCACCTGAGCCCTGCTCGTCCCCCGGGGGCTCGGGGGATGTTGGCACGCAGAGAAAATCAGCGTGTGCGGGTTTTTGCTTTTTTTGGTGTTTTTTTTTTGGGTTTTTTTTTTTTTTTTCCCCCGAGGAAAAGTGGGGGGGGAAAAAAAAAATTGTTTCGAATCCTGCGTGTGTGGAATGGCTCCTGCTCGGCTTGTCCTTTAAATAGCTGCTTTTTGGGGATGCACCTTCCTGGCGTGTTGCTGTAAGGACATATTAGAGTTGGGGACCGAGAGCTTCCAGGAAGGTACCAAAGTGCTCGTTAATTCTTTGCTCGTTCCCGGGTGTTTTGCGGGGGGGAAACTCTCCAGGTTTGGATAAGTGGGTAGTGAAAGGAAACATTGTGTGGGTGAAAGTCAATTAACAGAGCTGTGTGGCTATATATCTAAAACGTTCACATGTAAATATTTTTGTTGGTCGAGCTTGTATTTTACATGGGTACATAAATATATATACATATAACAGATATGAATGCAATTATATCTATCTAATATAAACTTAAACAACAGAGACTTATGTAAATCTTGAGTATATCAAAACTGGCTTAAATCTCTAGGATGTCGACTTAGTTGGGATAAATAATCTTCTAGTTATTATGATGAAATTGATTTAATCAGAACTTTATTAGATGGGAATGGCTCCATAGTTAAGAGTGGAATGTGACTTTGTAATTTGGGTAGAAGGGGATGGCAAGAGCAATGGGAAGGCCTGTTTTTTTTCCTTAATCCTTTTTCTCTGTAATGAAAAAGGAAGTAATCATAGAAATAACAGCCTCTCTCAAGCATGCTGCTTTGCATCAGTATGAATGTGGTGCTTTGAGATCCTCCCCTGTGAAGTGTGAGAAAGCAGGGAAGTTATTTTTTATTTGTTGTTTTATTTATTGTTGCTATTTTTATTTTGCATCTTTTTTTTTTCCCCTGTGTAAAAAAATAAAAGCACTACAGTATAGCACCAGGAGGCATCTTGTGCTGGGCCCCAGGGGACGGACTAGAGCCAGGGATGACTCAATAGGTCATCTCTTTTCCTAATTTCTGTAATTCTGTCTTTCATTTAATTACACTGACAGCCTTTGAATTTTCCCTGTGTGTACATGGCTGTGTGTAACACAGACAGCACAAATGACACAGCTATTAGCATTTCAAAATATTAGACATTTTATTTTAAATAAATTAAAAAAAAAAAAAAGAGCCCAGTTCTTCTTGCAGTGCTTTGCTGCTCTCTGTGGTGTGCAGTTGGGCTGAGGAGTTGCATAATAGCTGAGTGTACTACCAGGAGAGCAGAGCATGTGTTGGAAACGCTGGGATCATGTGGATCTGCACTAACATGGCACCCACTGCGGCCCTCCCCGTCCCTCTCCATCCCTCTCCACTCCTGTGATTGCAGAGCTTTTGTGTGCCCAGCTCTGTCCCAGCCCTTCTCACAGCTCACGTTGAAGGCAGCCTGGGAATTCTGTCAGAGCCAAGCAGGGGAGGGAGGTGGATTCAGGGCTGGCTGGGGACATAAGCAGATTACCCCGTGCTGGAGGAAATGCTGGCGGTGCTTCAGTAGGTGACGCTCTTCCCTCTGAGTTTCTCAGCTCCAGGCAGGGGCTCGGGGGCCCTGGGCTGTCCTGGGTCCCTCTGTTCTCAATAATCAGTCCCCCTGGCTCTCCTAGAAACACTTAAAAAGTGCTGCCCATTCTCTGCCTGCCTCTTCAGCATCCCCTTCGTCTTCCTCTGAATCCCACAGGGAAGTCAAATGCTCTGATGGCTTCCCTTATTTCATTATACAGCATTTTGGATCTTTGCAGCAAGCTTCTGTCTCCCCCCTCTAGGCAGTTTTATTTATTTGGTTGTGCTGCAACATCCAGACACAGAAGGGTGAGTTAAAGGTGTTATTTCAGGTTCTGTGTCACCCAGATACATGTGTGTGTCGCTGCTGGACTGACTGTGTGGTTCTAGAGGAGCACAGGTCTAAGTACAGAATGCAGAGTTCCCTGGGCTTTGCTGCTTGTCAGACTTGCTTGGGGTACTTTAATGGGGTGGCACAGCCTCGATATTTGCAATGAAATGGTTTCACAGCATTTAGTATTTATCCAAAATAACAAAACCCAGCCGGTGCATGGGATACAAACAGATCCTTTGGCATAGGAGCGGTGATTCCCATTCTGGGTGGCACTGCTGGGGTTAAAAACAGTGGGGGGAAAAACATGGAAAAAAGACGATTTCTGTGCGTGGCAGGAAGGACAGCAGCACAGGGACAGAATTTTGTCAGCAGGAGCAGCCACTCTGACACTTGGGAATGGGATTTGCTCCTGCCTGTTTTGAGGCCACCGCGAGATCGCCCAAAATAACGCAGAGTGTTTGACCGGGGACCCTCTGGCCACCCCTGGGCTGGGGGCAGGCTTGTCCTGGCCCAGGCCAACGTGCTGATCCCTCACAGGACGTCCTGCATTTTTGCAGAAGGCCACCTAATTCTGCCCCAAATGATCTCCCCACCATCTGCTCTCGCAGGGCTCTGCAGCACAGCAGGGCCCTGACGTGTGACACCAAAGCGCGGCCGTGGCACGATGCAATGCCCTGACGTGCCAGTGCAGCATCTCACTGTTGTGCTCCAGCATCAGGAATGATGCTGCAGTCCCTGACTGTGCTGGTGGTGACGTGTGACAACAAGAATTAGCTTTATCAGGGCCCGAAGTCTTGGTTTCAGAAGTCCTTCTCGTGGCACAGGGGGATATTTTCATACGTCTGTACGTTGCGACATGGCATGGTGAGAGAGAACTTTCGCTTCCAGGCTGACATCACTGTTATCTCAGAGATCCTTGGAGATTGGAATCAGCCAGGCCTCCAGCCTTACATTTTGGAAAGCCAGAAAGCACAGCAGGACAGGCTGAGCTTTCCCTCCCCTCTCATCTCAGGTTTTGCTGCTCGCCTTGTTCTTCCTTGTTGGGAGTTTTGGGGAGCTTGTAATCCAGGATAGGTGGATACTGATTGAGATCTTTCATGAAAAATGAGAATTAAATGGTGCTAACAACATCAAGGCTGTGAGTCTGATCCCTGGCTGGGCCATGCACATCCTTGTGGGTCCCTCCCAGAATGTTCTGATTCTGTGAAATGCCAGAAGAGCATTTCAGGGACAAACCCAAACATGCTGTCCTGTAAATGAACGAAACCCTGCTCATCCAATTTTCCTCCTTTTGTGGTTCCTTCTGCGTTGCTTGTGCTGCTTTGTTGATTGGAATATTTCTGAGCTGCAGAACCTGCCCTGTGGAGCCCACTGGGAAAATAAGGGCCAAGGGCTCTGCCTAAAAATAAATCTGTAATTCATTTTTCTGCTAGTGCCTGTGGGTGAGAAAAAAAACTCTCAATGTTCCAACACCCTACTTATCTGAGGGAAGGATCTATTATGTAGTTGTGGGGGTGGGATGGGAACTAGGTAGGGTTACAGAACAGCAGAGCTAAAATTAGAAGTTGTTTGATGTCAGGGAGCAGTGAAGATTAACTTTAGGCACTTTCAGCTCTGCATTGTGTAAGGCTGCGACTTCAGGGGCTCTTCGTGGCTGGTCCAGGCCAACACCACCTGCCCTTGCCATGGCTCTGGAAGTGTCTCAGGGCATGGAAGAGGGGCAGGAGGGGATTCATAAGCTCTAGTCCTACCTAGCTCTGTTCTTACAGGTGAGTCTTGTGACTTGTTTGACAAGTCTAAAACAACAGGGCAGTGAAAAAGGGGCAGGAGGGGATGTGTTCCGTCCTCAGCTCCTGAGAACCGGTACTTGCTGTAACACAGAAAGGTGACAAACGTGGGTGTGTGGGCTTCTTGCCTCCTTAATTACCTAAGGAAACGATGAAGCTGTTTAAATCACTCCCAATTTCACATTGATGCTGCAGAGACTCAAAGAGCTGCTGCGTGCAGCGACGACGAACTTCGTTCCACGGCGCTGCAAATGATTTCCAAATGAAATTGGATTTCCAGAATCAATTCTTCCTCAATTCCTGGAGAAGCCCAGCGAAATAGTCCCCTTCAAGTTACATAATTGTGCTGCTGTGCATATTGTGCTGTTTGACCTTCACATTACAGGTTAAAATGTTGCATTTTAGTGTTTCGTGGCATCGATTTTTCTGCGTCTACATCATTTCTCTGTGCTTTTTTATTCAAAAGGAAGGAACAGGTGCTGATAATCCTCTGCTAAAAGCCATCAGAGATGACCCACATACATATAAATATGGCTCTGGCATTTTGGAAAGAAAAGGCTTTCGCTCCTTATGAATTCTGCAAATGGATCTTAGGAATCAGGATGTTCCCGTTTGCTGTCAGCGTGGTAGGAAGAGGAAACCTTTATTAATGGATTGCTCATCTCTCCCTGGATCCAGAACGTTCTGAACCTCTGTCCACAAAGTACAATTTCCATCCCTCTCTCTCTCAACAGGAGGACATCGTGACAGGTGACTGGAAGAACAACTTTGGGCAGTACTGGGGGGATTTATTTTGAACGTGGTTTTGTAGCACATAATTACTGAGGGTTAGTAGCAGCTTTTGTGCTGATTTATCTGGGCTTTTCAGTAGTGGGAAGCCATAGTAAGCAGAGAGGAGCCGAATTCAAGTGCACTGATGTCAAGAAAAAAAAAATCTTGCATGCAATTCCCTTGGCCAGACTGTCCTCGTGGGCACCAGCTGAGCCAGAAATAGACCCCAGATCAGCTCCTTCCCACTTTTTGCCCTGGACTGCCACGCTGAATTCGTACCTTCAGTGGTGCCACGGGGGGAAGCACGACCGAAGTGACTATTTTAGCAAAGGCAAAATATGAAATTACAGTGGAGGGAGACTATTTGAAGAAAAACTGAGCCATTATGAAGGCCTTGGTCTGAGATTTGGTTTGCTTGCAGCTCTGTGTGATGACAGGCTGGCAAAAGCACCCCTTTAGTGATTTTTTGTTTGTTATGTGGTTGGCTTTTGGCATCAATTTTTGCTTTAAATATGGATAAACATCTATAATTTTATGCTCTGATATACATGTGCTTATTGAAAGCTCTCTGATGACAACCAGACAGAGGAATTCTTTGACTCAAGCCATGAAGATGCTGCACTTTGCCCAATCTCCCCTTCAGATCTCTCCTTGAGCTGTGGATTATTTGGGCTAATTGAATCCTAACCATTTGTTTGGCTCCGAAATTGCCTTTTCTCCTTATCAGATGGTAAAACCACCTCGCCCTCTCTCTCTCTCCAGCCCTTCAGCAGCCTCATAAATGTCAGGTGAAGGGCAAAGTGCTTGGGAACTGTTCTGGAATTCTGCAGCCATTGACTTGAGATGGATGAGGCAGCAGCGAGGCTTCCCCAGGGATCCTCTTCCTCATGTGCACAGGAGTAAAAAGCATGGAAAGAGGCAAATAAACTTGATCAGGTGTGTTTTTTCAGTCTCAAAGCTGCAGTGTGGGGCTGTTTGGCTGCTTGGTCCCTTAACTGAGGATCCAGGTCCTGGCTGTGGGTGCTGGAAGTCACAAGAGTTTGTGCCTGGATCTGTCACCCACCACTTGTATCCTGGTGTTGCCTCTTCCTCAGTTTCCCTGCCTGCAGAATGAGGCAAACCATTGCTCTCCTCCTCCTCCCTGGAGCAGTGTGGGATTTACAGGGGACAAGTGCTAGAGAGGGGTGAGTTGGACAATATTCCACGTTCTGTGTGATTAATGGTTGTGTTGAGCTAAACAAGGAACACTCAGGGGCTTGACATTTCTGCTTGATTTTTGCTCAGCAAGTGGGCACTGGCAAGGCCTGAAAGGGCCAAAGAATTGCCATCACAACTCCTGTGGAACTTTCTGCCAGAATCACCGTGTCCTGGTCAAGATCTCTTCTGCTTAATCACTTCTGCCAGCTGAAATTCCCCTTGGGAATCAGACTCCTCTCGATTCTTGTGGTTGATTAAGCAGCTGCTATTCTTTTTTGCTTGAACTTTCTCCTCTTTCCGAGTTCAGTCCTGGTTGGAAAGTGCATCTTAATGCCATTATTATTATAATTGATGTTTATTAGGAATGGTAACTGCTAATTTCAGTATTTTGAGCCTGGTGGAAGTAAATTATATAAATTGAGGTGTAACAGCAGTAATAGCATCCAAGTCTAAAATATCCCAAGTGCAGGCAATGGAGAGACCAAGCCAAATAAATACTGCACAGAAATCAGGAGCTGTTCTTTTCCTTCCATAACTTCAGTGTGCCCTTGCAGAGCCACGTGCTGAAAACAAGGTGCTGGAATGTTCTCTGAGCGCCTCCTGGGCTAAAGTTTTCCATTTGGCCAGATTTAGGTCTGTGCTGTTGCTTGTACTTTACATTTTCCAGTGGTTTGCTCTCCATAACCGTTTTTTTCCTGGACAGAATGCTCTCTGTGGTCACAGCCAAGTGACCTGGGGGGGGAGATGCTCTTGCTTTTTCACAACTAAAAAAAGATGCAAAATGCTGCCATTCTCCTCTGACAATGTCACAGCCACTCTGTGCATGTGGCAAAGGAGCAGAGGAGGAGGGATTAGTGGGTTTTCTTTTTAGTGTGTGAGGCAGATATATATTTGAGGTATATATTTGGAACCATTTTCAAGCCACTTGGAATACCAGGTTTGGAAGAGTGTGGCTTGACCACGCCTAATTTCAGGCCTTGGAACTGGAAGAAGAAAAATGGAGGGGAAAAATGAGTGGAATGAAAAAGACTTGGGGAGAAGAAAGGGGTGTATATTGAGGTGTATATTCAGGAGCAGCAAAGATTTTGTAACAGAAAAACTGTCCATGTATGCAGATGAAATTAGAACAAATTAGCTTTGGTGGGGGGGGACATAAAACTTGTTTATTTTTAGTGTCAAGAACAGCTCTCTCTAAGTAGAATAATTCCTTTAATGAAATACTGAGCAAACAAGGCTGTGTTTGGATGGCAGGAGGAGGGGATGGCAGAGAAATCATTTGCCAGGTGAGGACACACGAAGTGCTGTGAATTAAAAGCTTTGCACAGGAGGCAGAGGTATTTTAGAGAGCTGGTGGAGACTCAGAGCTGTAATTTTGGTGTATTTCTGACCCCACAGGACCAGAAGTAAAGCAGCCACAGAGATGTGAAAGGAGTGCCCTCCGCTCATGGGGGGAAGATTGGCTTGTGGCTGTGCAGCTCTCCAAAGTGGAATTTGTTTTTTTTTCAGAGCTGTCAACTCTTAGACAAATGATGTGCTCGTGTGGTGCCCTTCAATGTGATGCACATTTTAGGAATGAGGTTTGGGAGGCAAACTGCTGCTGAGCTGTGGGCCATGAAAGAAGGATGTGTCTCAGGGCTGGAGCTCAGAGAACCTGAGCAATATTCCGTGGCTGTTCCAGGGCAGTAAAACTCCATCATTGCTTCAAATACCTGCTCTGTTATTTTTCCAGCAGGAAGAATAGGTTCCCTGTGGACTCTCCTGAATTTCTGTTTTAAATACAGCTGATGGCACAACTGATCTTGGAAATGGAATTGTTTCTAAGACTGTGTTGTTTTACAGTGAGAGAGAGGCTTTTAAAAACAGGGGCTTGCTGTGCTGGAGATCTCCATGCCCACCTCCAGAGTCAGAGCTTCCACACTAAACACTCAAAATGAACAAAGGGTAGAAGAAAGGAGGTGATATCAGCATTAGTTTGCAGATGAGGCACGTGGAGATTAAAGGTGTTTTTCCTTTTTACATGTTTATTAATAGATGTGTACTGGAAAGGTTCCCTGCTGGAAGCTTGGCTTTGGTGAGCAAGAAATGGTGAAAGCTTAAAACAGTTCTTTAAAGAGCACAAGTTCTATTGATGCAAGAGTTGGCATCAGAAATGCAAACTGTCCAGCCTTATCCCCTGCCCTTCTCACAGGTGACTTGTCCAGCACCACCAGCTGAATCCATACAATCATCCCCAGAGCAACTTCTGTCTTGCTCATATTTGGAAATACCAAAATTGCCTTAAGGACATCTGTTCTTTCAAGGAGCACAGCCCAGATGAAGGACTTGAGATGATTTCGATGTCACTCTGCAAGATTTCCCACAGGAAACTCGGGAATCACGTGGCTGTGTTTCTCCAGGAGGTTTTGGGAACAAAAACACAGCAAGTCAAAACAATCCTTTAAATTGTAACGCTCAAACAGCTGGAACACCCAACTGAATGCAAACCTTTAAAGAGCCCTCCTTGCTGCAAGCTGGGCTGCTGCCTCTTGAGAAAACTGTGGAAAGCAAAACTAGAACAAAAAGTGATATTATTGAGGCATTAATCTGTGCTCCTGGACCAGGAGCTGGACTTGGATGATCCTTGTGGGTCCCTTCCAACTGAGGATATTCTGTGGTTCTCTGACTCAGTGTGAGACAGTTCCCTGTTTTATCTTTATTAGTGGTTACCTAATGGGGTTTATAAACATGACAAGTGAGTTTATAGCACTTGTCCCCTGCTCTTGGCTGCAAGGAGTTGACTTCAGCCTAATTTTTTTTCCCACAGCTCAATATAATCACATCGCTGGCTGTTATAAAACCTTTTAATAGGGCTTCTCTTTCCCTTTAATATTTACATTCTTCAAATATTTGTTGACCACTCCACTTTGTTTACCCTTCAAGTTTCTTTTCATAAAGGAGCCTGGTGAATATTGGGATGTTTTTGTTGCTTTCCTTTGGTCTCACTGCTCTGCAAGAAAAATCCTTCTGCTTGCTTGTCACCCTTACAGTAAAGTTCCTGGTAGAGATTAACTGATCCTACAGAGCAAATATTTCATCAGCTTCCATGAGGTTGGATTGATGAGACCATGCAGCTCCTGTATCACGTTGCAGGAACGTGTCTAATTTGCTTTGTGCTCGTACCTTGTGCTGCTTTCTTGCTTTCTGAATTCTTTGGGTGGCTTTGTTTCCACTGTTTGGAGTAGGTGCAAACCCAAGGACGGTGGTTTTTCACGCTTTGCCCAGAAGAAAAATCAAGCACAATCTCTTGTTTATTTTTTCCCCTCAGACAGGTTTTTGTCTGCGTGTTTGGATACACTGTCACCGTGAGTCACATCATTACCTTCTGCATTGTATAAACTTCTCTGTAAAGACTTCTCCAAGGGTTTGTGTTTGGAAATAGCCCTGTGTTGAGGACAAATATTCCTAGCTGCTGGTTGTGCTGCCTGCTGTGGGGAAGTAGGTGGTTTGTGTTGCCTGATAAGGTTTGGAGGGTGTGCAGTCCTTCTGATGAAGAGTTCGTAGAAATCACTGCGTGGTCAGAGAGCTTTGTGGGAGCGAGGAAGTGGAATTGGGAGGTAATTGGGATGTTTATGTCCATGCTGACTGCCCTGCTCCTTTGTCGTCACGGCAGCACTCCCGGGTGGCTTGCAGAGCAGGGGAGGGCAGGGATATTTAATAAAGCTCTGCTGATTTCCCCTGCAGGAACGTTCGGGATGCCAGGGACGTGTAACTAAACAAACCAAGCTGTGCCAGGGAGGGCAAGA